CTGGAAAGAATGAATCAAAAGTTTATGCAATCTCTTCCTCCATCTAGTGGCAAACGCATTGCATCTTTTGCTGACCTGGCAATAGATTTGAGGTTTTTGTGCTCCAAAGTGCCAGATTTTCCTTCTGTCAACTGTTATTACCTAGGCACCGCTATTTTTCTGTCCTGTTAAATGACTGATGACCTCTGGCATGCAGAAGCTGCCAAATTAAAATGGGGAAACTACAGGTATCTTATAGGAGCTGCGGTGGCTGAAGTGGTTAAGACACTGAACTGCAGGCTGTGGAAGGTCAGTAGTTCAGCAGTTTGAGACCCGGGTGCCGCATGATGGAGTGAGCTCCCATCTCTAGTTCCAGCTCCTGCCAACCTAGCAGTTCGAAAGCAAGAAATTGCAAGTAGATAAATAGGTACCACTTCGGTGGGAAGGTAACAGCGTTCCGTGCACCTTGGTGTTTAGTCATGCCAGCCACATGACCACGGAAACGTCTTCAGACAGCGCTGGCTCTTCGGCCTTGAAACGGAGATGAGCACCGCAACCCTAGAGTCGGATTCTACTGGCTTTCGAGCAAGGGAACCTTTACCTTTTACAGGTATCTTAAGTAGCTTGAAGGTTACAAAAAAGGAGCACCAGGCTTCAAAGAGAAGTAGCCAAGAGTTGACAAAACTTGTCCAAAGCAGTTACAGGTAGCTGAAGGCTCAGCAGCAGAACTGCTGCAGCCATTCAGTTCTGAGACAAACTGATAATTTCAGATGAGTTAGCCATGTTAGTCTGTAGCAGAAAAATAAAAAGGGAGTACAGTGACACTTCAAAGACTATTAAAATTTATTCCATTTTAAACTTTCTTGACTCACAAAAGCTTCTGTTGGAATACATTTTAATCATTTTTAAGGTGCCACTGCATTCCTGTTTTATTAAACTGCTTTTAAGATGTTCTCTGGGCCCCTACCTGCAGAGTTGAAGCAGGTGGCAATCTGACAGACACGTTTTTTCAGTGGCACCACCTTGCATGTGGAATGTCCTCCACCATGAGGTTCACTTGGTGCCTTCATTGCTGTCCTGTAGACGCCAGGTCAAAACATTTTGTTTCAACCGAGGCTTTTAAGGGATTCCATCTTTAAAAGCTGTTTTTATGGTCTGGTTCTAGTCTAAGGATGGTTTTATAAATATAAGTTTAAGCAGCTGATTGTTTTATACAGCATTCATGCCCTGGATTGTTTTATTATTGGTAATTCTTGTTATTTTTATAATTATTTTGTATTGTTTCTATTCTGTGTGTTGCCTCGAGCCAGTCTGTGAATATACATTTTCTATATAAATAAAATTCTGTAGCTTTGCAAGGGTCTTAGATCCACCTGAGTTTTTCCCTAAGGGAAGGGTTCCCTATGTACAAACTGCAACTTTGTCACTGCATCCCACAACAGCCTCAAATGCCCCCCCCAATCTTGCTCCTGGGGGACAGGAGATCCCCAGAAACAGGATTGCCAGGGACCTTTCAGGCTGCTGTGGAAGGGCAGAGGCAACAAAGTTGTATTTCGGAGGACAGGGGAATCCTTCCAACTGCAGAAAAACTGGTTGATCCAAAGTATTTTCCGGAATGCATTCTCATCTTTTGTGGGGCACCAGCCAGAACTGCTCAGCTTAATTTTGGCTTGTGCAAATGAGAGTCTGCTGTGAAATACAACAGCACCTTGTTGTGGCTGAGCAGTAATGATGGACAAGCAACCTTCTTTAAACATGACCTACTGTGTAAAGTTGGAGTGGAAAGAGCTGGCACTAAAATATTTTTGTCTGGGAAACCCCCACTCAGCCCAATGTCACTTTCCTGAAAATTGCAGTATGCATTGGTTCTGGAATTAACTGAGGACTCCTGCCCATGTCACACTTGCCCATTGCACCACCAACACAGCTGTGAAATAGGCCAAAGAAATGTTTATTTACTGGCCTGCCAGTGGTTGGCACAATTTACAACTAGCCACCTCTGAGGTAAACCTTGGTGGTGTTCCTGAGGTGCCCTGTCCCTTGCATTGGTGAACACAGCGTAAGGAAAGGTTTATTTTACAGTGAGGGGAAAATAAACTTGGGACATTCAGGACTAACTTTGTACCAATGTAACCTGTTGAGCAATATATTGCAGATACAGTTTCTTAATAGAAGATAGATGACAGACAGAAAGACAGATGAGAAAGAGTCAGACTGGAGAGAACACCAGTAACTGCCAGGCTATTGTGAGCTCTAAAAACTATTATTTCTTCCATGGGCTTCATTTTAGGTTATATGATAGTTTTTTTAAACAAAAGACCTCCATCTGCCCCCTAGCTTCCAAATAATTCTGAAAGGCTACATATGAGATCCATATTCCAGTGTGTACCACCCCAGAGCACCACACTGAAGAGGACACCTTCACCTCAAGTAACTTGAGACAGAACAAGAGCCCTACTCTGCTTAAGGAAACTCTCAACCTTACCCGACTGGTGCCGCTATTTTAAACAGCTCTTTTCCGTGCCCCCCCCCCCCCCCCGAGGTTCCAAAGGCTCTGACTGGCTGTTGCTGGCTTTCTCTCCAGATCGCAAGGGTACAAATGGGATTGACAGAAACAAAAAAGGGGACGGACTTGGCTCTGTCTGCTACACCTGCCATTGTGAATCTTATCATTATCTAACAGTCTCTTTGAGGACTCCAGGGTTTTTAGATTCAGGTGGGTAGCCTTGTTGGTCTGAAGCAGCAGAACAAAGTTTGAGTCCAGTGGCACCTTTAAGACTAACAAAGTTTTAGTCTGGGTATAACCTTTCGTGTGCACACGTACTTCTTTTTTTAGCTAAACTTTCAACCTGCCAAGCTTTGACAGCAGCTTAAGACTCCTGTCTTCTTAACAGTAGTCCCTATCTGGACTTCCTGCAGAGGTACATGAGCCCCAGCAGCACAGCACTGTTACCCTTCCATAGGCCTCTAAGAACTGTTTTTGTTTCACTGGGCTTCTGTTGGTCTTAGATTGAGTATTCTGTATTATTGCTCAGTTTTAGGGTGTTGATTGAGTCATTGTACAGTTTGGTTGTTTTAACTGATCGTAGATGGGGTTGCCAACTCCATGTTGGGAAATTCCAGGATATTGGGGTGTGGAGCCTGAGGAATGGGGCTTGGTGAGGGGAGGGACCTCAGCAAGGTATAATATCGTAGAACCCATCTTCCAAAGCAGCCATTTTCTCCAGGGGAGCTGATCGCTGTAGCCTGGAGATCAGTTATAATTCCGGGAAATCTCCAAGCACTACCTGGATGTTGGCAACCCTAAAAGGGCTTTGCACAAAGACATGTGAACTTTTTAATGATGGAAAAACAAAGTACCATTATTAACAGAAATAAACAGTAGTCTAGTGGCACCTTAAAGACTAACCACATTTTATTTCCACAAACAGAATCAGAGGTAACAGAACGAAGTCTGAGTCCAGTGGCACCTTTAAGACCAACAAAGTTTAATTCTGGGCAGAGGTCATTTCGGGGGGGAACGCGGGGGAGCGCAGTTCCCCCGGGTGAGGTGCAGGGGGCGGGGCACATGACAAAGCCCCGCCCCCTGCTTCCGGCCGCCCCGCTTCCAGCCCTCGTTCAGCCAGGAGGAGGCAGGAGAAGAGGGAGGGTAAGTTGCTTCCTCCCCGCCTCTCCCCACCCCTGCCTGCCTGGGGCCTTGGCGGGGCTTCCTCACACTCCCGCTGGCCTTGCAGGTCCACCGCCGGGCCTCTGATGTCAGGGGGTGTGGCATATGCTAATGAGTTATGCTAATGAGTTCCCCTAGCTCTTTTTCTACGAAATGACCCCTGATTCTGGGTATAAACTTTTATGTGAAGTGTGCATGCACACAAAAGCTTATACCCAGAATTAAACTTTGTTGGTCTTAAAGTTGCCACTGGACTCAAACTTCGTTCTGTTGCTTCAGACCAACACGGCTACCCATCTGAATCTAGAATCAGAGGTAATTTTTGCCAATTTTTCCTTCCTGCAGCAGACCTCCAAGCCCCCCTACCATTCCTGGAGTTCTCCGTTTGCCCAGGAGTGGCATTTGGGGGCCTGCGTGGGGAGGGGAGGAAGTCCCACTCTGCTGACATAAATCCCTTCTGTGTATAGACATCTCTGGTGGGTCCAAGCTTTAGTACCCCTTTCCTTCTTTCGGAAACAAAACAGTAACAAAAAGTGAGATGAGAGTTTGAATTGTACCAACAAAAGGCTGAAGTTAACAAGAGAATCATCAACTGACACAACACATATTGTTAGTTTATTTTTCTTTATGTCAAACTCGGTTTTTGGTTTCATTCTTACGTGCAAACATTTGCTCTTACTGTTGATTTTAATTGAAAATGCACACACACACACTGTGCTACTAGACTCATGTTTATTTTTGCAGCAACAGACTAACGCGGCTACCCCATCCGATTTACTGCCTTAACAGAAATCCTTGTGAGTCAGGGAACATTCTCCTCACAGTTCTTTCAGGACCTAACATCGGACCTAACATCTTCTGGTTGTCCCGGAGGAATCTGACCCGCTGAACGGCACCAATGCCTAGAACTAGGCAATCTTTTGCCGCTGGGAGGCGCTGTCGGTATAATTACAGCACCGGCACTTGACCTCTGCCTCACCCGTAATATCTGTCCTCTTAGTTTGAAATGGACTCGTCCAGGTGTTCTAAAATAATATTTGGGCCGCCTTTCCATCCTTTCCTACAGCTGTTTGGTAATCTATGTGTCCAGCTGTCTATTGCTCATTTAAACGCCCTTGCAAAACACAAAACAAAAAAACACCGCGGGTCTCATACCACCTTTGCACGCACAAACCCATCCCCAGAAAGGATTTAATCTAAAAGCACGTTCTCGCTCCCCCACGTTCCTGAAAATGGTCGGCGCCGGAGTTTCTTTTGCAACCCGACAGTGTTTTCTTGTCGTCCCCCCCCCCCTCTTATTTTTCCCGCGTCCCTAGCATTCGTCATCTCCTCTGCTCCCCCGGCCTTTCCTCTATCCCGGCGGCGGAAGTGACGCCATGAAGGCAGCCACGGCTTCCGGTGCGCAGGCCACAGTGGCCCGGCTAGAGATGGAGGAGCCCGCGGGGAGCTGATTTTTCTCCCCTCTCCCGAGCCTCCGGCAGCGCCTCCCGCTTCACCCCCTGGCCCCGCTGGAGTTGCTTCTATCGCCCGGGACTTCGGCGGCTTCGGCCTCCGCCTCGTCCTACCCGCATCGTGGGTGAGCACAGAGGAGTGGGGGCCGGGCCTTGTTTACATAGAGGGGGAGCACAGGGGAGAAGTTACCCCCCGCCTCGCGATTGTGTGGCTGTGACAGAGGCAGGGCGGGCTGGAGGCAGGGGGCGCCTCGTTCGCTTTCTCCGGTAGACCCAAAAAGTGTGTGGCAGGAAGGGGAGAGGGTCTGAAGTCCCCTCTCCCCTGCCAACACCAGTGTGGGGTAGGAGGCTTCCTGTGGGGCTCGAGCACCTGAGGCTGCCATATACCTTTAGTCTGCCACGGTCAGTGTTGCCTTCTGTGGGTAGCAACGGCTTTTCAGGGAGTCAGGTAAAGATCTTTCACATCACCTATTATCTGATACTTTTAAAAAGAAGTATTGGGGATTGAACCTAGGACCCCTCTGCATGCATGTTAGGCATTCTGCTACTGAATCTTGGCCCCTCTCCTGAACTTATGGGTTCAGATTCTCTCCCCTACTGGACTATACATGAGATTTCCTTTGTCTTGGGCAACTTGCTATCTCTTTCAGCCTAATTTATTAAAGGAAACTTGTCTTATGAGACCTCCTGAACTTCGTGGAGGAGAGTACATATTTGGAGAAGAGGTGGTAGTTTTCAGCATAGGATAGAGGATACTAATGCTGAAGCTGTTGTTTCCTATTATGTGCTGTTTGTTGTACAAGACAGGGTTTTGTCACCTCATGATGTAGGCTCGAGAGAGTGACCTCTTGTATTAGAATTTAGAGAGTACTGCATGTGCCTGTTGACCAGAAGCAAAACCATGTAGTAGTGGCAGTATGTAAGTTGTCTTACAGGTTATAGAAACAATAGCTCTAAGCTGCTGTGGGGACTAGGCACTGCTTGAGGGATATACAGTAATGAACAGTCAAGGTGGTGCAAAACAAAATTGTGTCATGCTGTTAAAACCAACGTAGGTTACACAAAACAGTGTGCAGGCGCAGAAGGAGGAGGAGATTGGATTTATACCCCGCCCTTCACTTGGCGTGTAAAGTACAGGGTAGTGACATTACTGTACTTAAGTACAGGGTAGTGACATCAAGGGTAGGGAAATAAACAGCTGGCCACAGAATGGAGTGGTTAAGGTGGTGGTGGGGGGTTGGTCACTATTCTGTGTATGTAGGCAGCAATGGGGGGCACTGGAAACATTCTTAACAGGAAAGGTTTGTCCACTCTGGCTTCAATTTGCTCATTCTGAGTTCTCTTAACAGGCTTGTTCATTAGCTGCCCCTCTGGACCCTGCTTTTTATCATTCAGATAGTCTTCTTTACCAAGCCTGTAACTCTAGGTAGATCTGCAAAATGTGGTGGTGGTATAGTCAGTGAGTGAGTGGAGATAGCACAAACTACTGTTTGCAGAATTTCCCTTCTGCACTTTTTAAAGCTGTCATGTCACTATCCCTGGCCCAGAGTCTCAGCATTTTAAGCCCTCCCTTGCTTTTCTGCTTCTTTCCAGCCCCTTTTGTTCCATGCCCTGTGAATGGTTTTGCCCAGTCTTACTTTCTCCCTGGTTCATCCTTTCTTCAATTCTCTGACTTCACAGCCCAGTATTTCCTCTCACTCTTGCTCTTCAGTCCATTTTATTTATTTACATTGCCCCGTTTTCTTTAGCTGGCCAGTGTCTTTTAGCCTCCGTAGCGCTTCTGTTCCCCTAACCCCTGTTGACCTTAACCACTTTTTCTCCAGAGCCCCCTTAATGCAATCTGCCCTCTGATCTGATTCCCCCCTTAATGTCTGATCTGCCCTTTTTCTTGATCCATCATCTTTTCCACCTATCCTTCCCTCAGACTCTCCTTTCTGAGACAGTTGCCCTACTGTGCACTCTTCGTTAACTATTTTGCCTGCCTGTCCTTTATGTTCACAGCCTGCCTCTTAAAGCTTTTCCTGAGCTGAAAGCCTATGTGATATTTTATTCCCAGCCAAACTGACAACTTTATTTCCCTCATGGAAGCTGAACTGCAAATATACACAGGTTTGTTTCCTGAGCGGTTGGAAGATTTGTGACATTCTCTGCATTTGAACAGGGGGCTGATCCTGTCAGTGTCACAGGCTTCATTGAACAGATAGAAGATTTTTGAGGGAAATGTTTTCCAATTGGCAAGGAGCCCTTCGAGTTTTCTGTTCAAATCGAAATCAGTGGAGTTAGACTGGAGAACATGTGAATTGTAACTCTCCCTTCAACAAGAGGCTTTTTAAAGATTGGATGAGGAATAGTTCTGGTGGGTGGTCTTTGTAATGCAGCTGGAATGTACAATGGAGGCAGGGTGTTTTTCCACCATCTGAGAGTGGCTTTGTCCTTCCACACCTGGTCAGGTACCTGGGATAACCGAACCCGGGAAAGTAGCTGATGGTGGAAGCAGGGTGAGTATATGGATCCAATACATTTGAGGACATTCTGAAGTTGAAAGATTATTAGCGGTCAATAATCCCAATATATTTGGCTTCTGATCCTCATTTTCTACTGCTGGAGAAAACTAGCTAAAGTCATACCAGGACTTTAGACTAATTGCAAATGTTTTTGAGGGGGCCAAAGATCTTATTATTTTATTTCTGTTAACAAAATTTATTTCCTGCCCAATTTGGGCCACCAAAGCAAAACATTATAGAACATATAAAAGCAAAACAAAAACTAATAGCAAAACAAAAACTAATAGGAAGGAGGGGTCATTGGGGGAACTTGAGACAAAACCAGAAATTTTTCATCTGCTGGCAGAAGACAGTGATGGAAGGGGACAGATGAATATCCTTAGATAGGGTATTCCACAATTTCAGTGCAATGGCCAAGAAGGCCCTCTCTTGGATCACCACCTGTGTAACCTTTAGGCAGGGGCACCAGAAACAGGGTTTCACAAGATGGTAGTAGTGATCAGATAGGTTTGTATGGGAGTAGGCAATCCTCTTCTCCAAATGAGAAATTAATGAAGGGATGGGTTGTGTAATTACCATCTCTGTGCTGAGATACTACAGTAAAGAACTTCAAAGTGACAGGTAAGACAACCTTTTTGCCAAAGTGCTAAAAATCTCCACAACATCTGACTCTGAAGATGCTAGTGCAGGAGTGTCGAACTAATTTGTTATGAGGGCCGGATCTGACATTGTTGGGCTGGGCCACGTGTGTCATAAAATGTAATGCCAGGTAGTGGACATATAAACTTTATAAAGGACACAAACACACAGGCTTAAAACATTAGCACTCTTGCAATATTTTGTTTATTTAACAGTGTCTGATAACTGACACCTCTTGCTCTGAATTATTACATCAAAATGTCTGTGCTGTTGCAATCTTGAGTATGCTGCTCAGGTGTGTAAGCTGCAAACCTATGATGATGCAGCAGCAGCAGAACTGGAAGAAGAAGCAGAAGACAGCCAGTTCCACTATGGGCCTGATAGAAGCCCTCCAGGGGCCTCATCTGGCCCCCAGGCTGCATGTTTGACACCCCTCTGCTAGTGTGTCAACAAACAAAAGATGGGGAGGAGAGAGGTCATACTTGCCTATACACATTGGGATGAGATAAATACAACAGAATCTGACTGTCTTGCATGGAAAAATTCTTACCCTCTATAACTAGATGGCTGAATTGTGCTGAGTATAAAATAACAAGGGGATTGTGCTGAGTATGAAATAACAGGGGCTGAAAAGATGGAATGTAAGTTGAATAAATAACAATGGATCTAATTTTATTTATATGCATTGTTGAAATTTTTATTCTGTCTTTCTGCTTGTCTAAGCACTCTTGGCTAATCATTTCTTTTTTTTAAAGTCATGATGTTTTATCAGTTTTCTAAAAGCAGCAGTAAAAAAGGCATACTACCACAAAACTTTGGTCTTGGGTATTTTTTATTATGTTCTGAGATGCCAGATGGGTGTTTGCCCAAAGATTGTCCTTGACTCATTGTAATGGTTAAACTTAACTGCACATCTTGGCAAAATGTGTTGGGAAATATCTCTTGATATTCCACGCTCTTTTGGTCACACTCATTCATCTACACGATCTGTAGCTCATGTATCTCACTACTCATCTGTGCTGTACTTGCCTATATATGTATCCCAGCAATCTCACTATTTAAACCATTATATTTGTAGTAGTTTGAATATAAGCTTTTTATCATATGTAACAGGAGTCAGGACTTTTCTTTGATCTGAGCTGAGTCCTGTATAAAGTCTTTCTATGATTGGTTCGAGAAGGCCAGGCCCTAAATCTATTAGATGTATTTGAGTCCTTTTGAGTAAGGCAGACTGTAAATGTTATGCAACAGATTTATGTGCTACTTTGGCAATAGTGAGCCATCAGTGAATTCCTAGCCTTGTTGGCAAAAAGATGGAGGTTGTTGCTGGCTAAAGTCATGACTTGCATACGTTGTTGATGAGAATACATCATCTGAAGCAGTCACTAGGTAATGAGATGTAAATCTTGAGAATACCTGTATACTTTGCAATCGTTTTTAGAGGTGAAATAGTAAGATGGCCTGTTTTCACACTTTCCAGCTTTGGAGTTGTGGGTTTGTGTGGAAGTGATAGCTCGTGATTTGTCTGCCTTCCAGCTTCTGACTTCTAAATTTGGTTCAGCATGAGCATACTTCTCAGCTTTGCTGTTAGGAACTGTTTTCATTAAAGCCAGTTTGCTTCCTGTTTCTGAGACAGGCAAAAGTGCATCTCACAAAGGTCATGAGAACTTGAGTTGCATACTTTGAAGATATGAGGTGTCGCGGTTACTGCACAGTGTTTATTTAGGGCCATTAGTTACAGTCACATCACAGTTCTCGCCAAGGAAGATTACTTTCTAGGTAAGGTGAGGTGAGGAAGCTGAGGGATGATAGCAGAAGGCACAGAAAAGGTAAGGCTGTGATGCTACAGAGCAGCATTTTTGGTAAAATGAGTTTTTGGAGGAGGAAGGGGGTGATCAGTGGATGGTATGTATTTGCTCTATTTATAGTCCACCTTTCTCACCGAGACTCAGGGTGGATCACACCCTGTAAGTCCATGCAATCAATAGGGCAAGACATCTGTGAAGGAGTATAGTGGGACTAGGCAAGTGATGTTGATAGCTGGCAGGCTGTTCACCTTAGGACTTGGGTGGGTGACCTGGTATGGATGGGGTTGCATTCCCCCTATCTAGGGCAGATTATGCTTCTATTCCAAAGTCGGTTGGCACACACCAACCACCAGCATGGCTTGGGGAACCAGCTGCCCAGCTGTTGTTACTTGATAGTCAAGTGTCAGTGGTGGCTGAACACTGTTTTTCCTTATCCTCAAAAATAAAAAAATGGCCTCCATCTAACACACTTTGGTAAGCTGTAGGTTAAATGACTACCTCTGTGTGAGGCTGCCTCTGAAGATTGTTCAGATACCTCAACTAGTCCCAAGTGCAGTGGCCAGCCTGTTCACTTGATCTGGCCCAAAAGGCTACAGTGATTTGCAAGGAGCTGCATTGGTTCCCAGATTCAGTCTAGTGCTATTTAAAGTGCTAATTTTAACCATTAAAGCCACCCTAGGCAACCGGAAGGAATACCTTCTCTCTCCTTATCCTCTTGAGGTGGAAGCACTGTGGATGCAGTTCCTTGCATTGGGTGTCCACTGTGTGGCTTACCGAGACAAAAACATTCTCAGTAGAGGCATAAACATTATGATCCTCTTCAAGGGCCCTCCTCTGGGAGCCACCATCATCTGAGGCTAGATAGGTAGTATCCCAGGAAAAGGGCCTTTCCGGCTGTAGCACCAAAGTTATGGAAAACAACAAAAGAAGAGAAGAGATTGGCTTTATACCCTACCCTTCACTACCCAAAGGAGTCTCAGAGCGGCTTACAATCTCCTTTCCTTTCCCTTCCCCTCCCCACAACAGACACCCTGTGAGGTAGGTGGGGCTGAGAGAGCTCTTTCAAGAACTGCCCTTGAGAGAACAGCTCCAAGAGAACTTGTGACTGACCCAAGGTCACACCAGCAGCTGCCTGCGAAGGAGTGGGGAATCAAACCCTGTTCTCCTAGATTATTTATTGATTTATTTGATTTATACCTCACCCTCCCCGCCAAAGCAAGCTCAGGGCGGCTTATAAGAATGACATAAAAACAATTATGACAAAGATAAAACCATCTAAAAACAATTCAAAACATAAAGTGCTAGCTGGTTGTAAACTAATACATTAGGGATGGCAGCAACGGTTACTTTATTCATCAGTTCTCGATTTTTATCATATATATACGACTGGCACTCCTAACCTAACACGGCCCTGAACTCCTTGGAGGAACGCTGAGGTAAAATGTGATAGAATGGCAAAAAACAATGGCGATCTGGGTTGTTGTGCCACCTCCTCTGAAATTTCTGTGACCTTTTCCACAGAAGAGTATTTAACAGCTCTTTCCCCACTTATTTCCTGTGTGGTAAGCCACAGCCTTGTGTGGAAAAGGAAAGATTTATCTGTGAACTGTGAAGTCGGGTTTGTAGC